GATGAAAATCAATTGTTTATGAAAATGAAGAGAAAATATTGTTATTTACCTTATACCTTTTCCTATTATAATGAGAAAAATAGAGAATAATTAAAAATAAAAAATCCGCTCTCTTTGTATACATACAATAAATATTTGAATTTGAGTAAAATTGCTTAATTTCATTTCGGAATTTACTAATACAAATAAAAATTCGTATTCGTTTGTTTATATATGAAAAAAGAAAATAATCAAAATAAATATATAGTGTTTGTGTGTATGTATAATATACATGTATAGAATGGGTTTAAAATGAAAATATCCTTTTTTTTTTCATTTCTATATTTGTATATAATAAAAGGATGCTGCAAAATGAGAGTAATTTGTATATTCCTCACGTGCAGTCAGTCAGTTATTCGGAATTTATTTTAGATATTGTAGAAAAATTTCTTTGAAAATAGTTTCTACTTCTTGTTTAACAACTTAAAAACGGAAAATATAACTGAGAAAAAAAAAAAAAGAAGTGTGGAAATTTTTTAAATATTTTGAAAAAAAAAAAACAAAGTAAAAGGAAAAATTTACAATTCTAAAATTCTTGTGTTTTCAATAATTTTTTTTAAGTAAATCACTGTGTATTTTTAAATAAATTTTTTAAATTAGAATGTGCTAAAAATAAAAATGTAAACAATAATGTAAAATTAGACAGACGATATTTTAGAATTATGCTTTTCGTTTTTGCTTATTTTATTCATAATATTATTGTCCTTTGTTATAATCTGAACGATATAGAAAGAATTAACGAAATTTTCTAAATTTTAATATAATCGAAAAAAGAAATATGAAAATTTTAAAATTTACAATTAATACCTAAATAATATATTACATTTTATGTATACATAGATTTAATTATATGAATTTTAAATACATACTATTTTACAATTAATTTGCTTTTGTAAGAATTGATTTTTACTTAACAAATTATATTGTATACAAATTTTATATTGAATTCCTATACTCTAAAATATTATAGTGAATTGAACTTAAATTAAATTAATTTGCAATTAAGATTTTAAGGATTTCAAGGATAATTTCAACAATAATATGGTTTAACAAATATAATTTCTACCAAACATAAAAGTCCACCCCAATATTTCCTATTAATTGAAATATTAAACTCATTATTCATAATATAGAAGTTATTCGCATCTTATAGGCATTTTAAAATTGTATAACAAAATTATTTTAATTTTCCTAGAAATAAAAGAAAATTTGAAATATTTTGATTTTCAATGAAAATATGCAAAATAAAAAAATGATTTTAAAATATTGGATTATTCGAAAATATTATTAAATTTCTAAAAAAAAATTTCATTAAAATCAATTTTAAATTCAATTTTTTTATTATATTTTACAATTATACACCTCGAAAGAAATTCATAAATAGAAAATATAATTAATTTTCTATATACACACTTGAATCATATTGTTATATGTGTCTACATTTATATCCTATATATAATATTATATAAATAGATTTGCAAAAAAAAAAATTGTTTTTTTTTTTCTTATTTTATATACAATATATTCATATATTATAGTATATAAGAAAATTTGGCTAATAACCGATATACAAAGAGCAGGGAAGAAAAAAAAAAATAAGAACCTTCGTTTACAGATAAAATTTATTACAATGTTTTTGTTCTTTTGTTTGTTGTAAGAAGAAATAACAAAAAAAAAAGAACAAAAATAACTTCGAAAAGAAACAAAAAAAGTGAAAATTTTAAAAGGACCAACGTATAACAATTATATATGGACAAAAAAACATTGAATTTTTGTTTTTTTCTTTTTGCTTCTTTCTATGGAAAATTTATTAAGTTTAAGATATTAAAATAAAATTTATGATGATCAAATTAATAATAAATTTAATAAGAAATTTAATAATATAAATTTTATATAGAATCGAATATCATAATATATATATAGGGGGAGGGGGGGATTAATTTAATATTAAATTAAATATTAAAGGAGTGTGAATGTGAATAATTTTCACTTAAAAAAATTTTTAATAAATTTTGAGAATCTATAAAATTATGCTCAAAATTAAAAAAAAACTTTTCAAAAAAAAATTATGGAAATTCAGTTTTTTATTTTTTAATTGAAAAATAATATTCAGATTTTCACTTTAATTAAAATAACAATTAAGATTGTTTTTCATTATCATAAAGTTTTTTTTTTACACAATGTTCTACAAATTATATGTATAATAAAAATTTATATTTAGTGTGAAAATGTTGATAATTAGCATGTATTTTTAAATACAAAAAATATAGTATACAGAGAATATTGAATTAAAATTAAAAATATTTTATTCACTAATATTTACAACTCCTAATTCCTATGCCTCTATAGTATTCTTCTTTGTGTGAATAATTGCAATATTTATGAAAAAATTGCATACTTTTAGGGTTTAATATTTTATTTTTTCTGTATTTAATTTACAAAATGTAATTTTTTATCTATTATTTAATTGACAAGATTTCTTACAGTTTAAAATGAATTCTTGAAAATGTTTTTTTATTATATTTTTTGCTAGATTAGGTTTGGAAGGTTTTTTAGTTTTAGGAGGTTTTCTTACTAAAAGTACGAATAATAAACACCTCTTATAACTTAAAACTATAAAGTGAAATTTTCATATATATATATTTTAATATTCCTAAAACTATTAGAAGTTGAAAAATTTTCTGATATTTTTCAAGTTATTTCTGATCTTAAAAGTTAAAAAATTGTTTATTTATGAATTTCATTTGTTTATAAATATTAAGCATAGAACCAGAATAAGAGGTAGTATAGGAAAATCTTTTTTACTGAATTTTCTTTGTCCTATAATTTCTTTGCAAGTTTAATTTATTTTAAATATTTTATTCTTTTAATATAAGAAATTAGTGCAATAACAATTTTCGGTTCCTCAAATAGCACACATGCAATATATATATGTATATACATAGATATATATATATATAGAATTATTAAATAAAATAATTCTAAAAATTTAGAAATTAACTCTTAAATATAACTGAATTAATTCTAATTAAAATTAAAAATAATTTTAATTACAAAATTATTTAACAAAACTTTTAATAATATCAATTTCAAATGTTCATTTTTAATTATCAAAACCTTAAAATTATATAAATACGTACATTTCAATTTTTTAAATGTATGAATAACAATTTATATAGTAATTAAGTAAATATTTCATAATATACAATATGTTATGTAATAAATCAACTTTTCAAATTATATACAATTCTCTGTTGTGTAATTAGAAATGCAAAAGTAAAACAATAATAAAGTTTTGTAGAGGGCAAAAAAAATAGTTATAAATATTAGATTAAATGACGTTATATAATTTATATATTATAATATAAAGGAGTATAAAAATAATTTTCCTAGTACTAATATATAAAATATTTTTACAAATAATTTTTAATATTCAGAATTAATATTTATTTTGTCTGATATTTTCTGAATTGAATAAATATTTAATTTTCATTATTCTATAACGTGAACCTTGCAATATTATATATATATATATATATATATATATATATATATATTTATATATATATATATGTATATATATATATAGAGAGAGAGAGAGAACATTTATTTTTTTCAAAATTTTTAATATGTATTTTAATGAGTAGTTTTAAGCTTAACTGGAAAATATTAAAAATTTTTCAAATAAATTTATATACCATATAACTGTGGAGATTTTCGATAATTCATTCATTGAAAATTAAATTTTCTTTTTGTGTCTTTTCACAAATCCATACTTGGAAATCTGCAGAAACTGATCATTTTGTTTTTACAGGTTTGTAATATACTCGATTAATTTTTTAATCTCCCAAATTTTTCTATTATGCTCTTCTTCTAATTTATAATATTTTTTTTAAATTGAAGAAAAACTGTAATATTCTGTACTTTAGCATATAATTTTTGCAGATTTCACAGCTTGGATTTATCAAACGTGCATTATATTAAGACCTTTAAGTTAAAAGTGAACTATCGAAAATCTTTTATGCTTTAGTTTAACTTCAAATTTACAATAATATAAAAATTTTGTATACATTTATGTAAAAATTATAAATAATTGATAATTCATTGTTAATTCTAATTCATTGTAATTATTGTATACATAACTGCTAATTCATTATTAAATTCCAAATATTTCTAAATAAAATTCGGATTTTTTTTTTTCGTTTGCTATAAATCAATATTAAATTGTAAACAAATTCCACATCAAAACTAAAGTCTGATTTCTCGCAGCTACATGTTATTATTAATTTGTATATAAATTTCCTGGTCAAAACTTCTATAGTTTCCACATAAGTATTTAAATTTTTAAAAAATTCCATTCATGTTCATTTGAAATTATTCATTCTTTTCAGCATCCTAAAAAATTAAAATTTTATGAATTTTTTAATTTTCATTTCTATTCAGAAAATAATAATTTTTTTTATTTTGTTTAATTATTATTAAAGTTTCATTTTTTATTGATTGTTTATTACCTTAATTATTACTTTAATTATTATACTATAATTATTATAGATGTAATTGTCATGTTTTTTAATTAAAAACAAGAAAAAAGCGATTCAAAATCAATAAAAAACAAAATTAAAAACATGATATAAATATGAAACGTAAGAAGAAATATAAATAACGAAAAAAAAAACATAAAACAGTTAAAAAAAAAATTAAATATCAAAATTTATTATTATGAAAAATTTATAAAAATAATAGAAAGAAAAAATGAAATTAAATAAGGAAAAAACTATTAAAATTCATTTAAAAAAAATATCAAAAACTGTCTTCATAGTATATAAAATTTATATATAATATATAAAAAGGATTAATTCCTTATATACACACATATATGTACATATATACATGTATTTGTATGTAATTATTTATAAATAATATAAGTTTATAATATAAAAAAAAAAAAATAGAAATAAAAATATAGTGAAATTAATCGAGATAAAAATTTAATTAAAACTCTATATTACTTAAATTTAATTATCTTTTAAAATAATATTGTAATATACTTAATTAAAAAAAATAAAATTCATATTAATTAATAGTAATTTTAATTCGAAATATTGAAATTAAAAAAAAAAATTATTTAAAATATGCCATTCGGACGTAAATCTCCATTGGAAGCATTGGCTTTGCCAGGTGTTATACTAGCATATAAATATAGTCAATTTAGGCAAAGAAGGCGAGAAGCAGCAAGTCGTCGTGTTACTGAAAGAGAATTATCAGCTTTACATCATAAAATTGTAAGTACAATTACAATATGCAACAATTCTTTTCCTTTTTGCCTGTTTATAAAAACATAAAATTTTATTTTAAATATAAGAATTCTTTACAAATACAAATTAACTTACTGTAGTTAATATAATTACCCTTTAATCTCTTATAAATATTGTAATCCAAGAAAACCATGTGACAAATATTACGAGTCTATTAGCACTTAATAGGAAGATGCATTAATTTATCCCAGTTAAATTCCTGAGAAGCGATGCGACGAATATTCTTATAAATTGTTGGATATATGGCGTAGAATGTTTTGTTATAAGGTAAGTGTAGCTAATACTGACAGTGGCGGTAATACTGACATACATGAAGTTTTTTATAATTATTAAGAGATTTTCTCTATACAGCATATATATATATTTTTATTTCTAGATTAATTCAAATTATCGCAATACTTCCTTTTATTTAGTTTTGAAATAACTCCAAAATATTGAGCATAAATCAGTTTTGTTTCCATAGACATAGCAATGGTGGGTTGAATTGGAGAATTTCTTATACTTTTTGCTTAATTTTTCCGATTTTGTTTTTATTGATTTTTGACTTATTTGAGGGTTAAAAATATATGTATTTATATTAAATTAAATATTTTGATTATTTTTTATCTTATTTTATAAGTAATTCGGAGTAAAAACATTAAATAAATAAGAATTTTAACAAATAATTTCTGTCAGTATTAGAAACATCTAAAATTCGACCATGCTTCTATTACTGACATATGTGTCAGTAATACGTCAAAAATCCGTATTTTTATAAATTACGTCATTTTTAAAATATTTAAATTTTTATTTTCGTATTTATTTAACTAAAATCGAATTTGAATTTTCTTTCTAATGTCCGAATTCTGACACTAAGAATTTACTACAGGTTCGGAGTATTTTACCTTTAAAAACTGGTGTCAGTAATACGATCTAAAGAGGGTCAATATTATGTACAAAATTATGTCAGTATAAAGTTTTAATTTTGATATTCATTTTAATTAATTAAAATAATTTCTTTATACTTTAAAATGTTTAAACTATTTCAGTCGAACGAAAATTGATTACATTTGTGAAAACCTATATCTGACTACGACATTTTTACCTTTTTAATAGTGATATTCGTCTAATAAATTGTGTATCAATATTGTATTCAATACTGTCAATAAAACAGTACAATTCGGTTTCTAAAAAAATGCTTTAAAATTACAGTAAACGTTAACGTCATAGCAAATATCACAACGGAAATGGTTCTCTTTAAATAAGAAAAGTAGTCCTTTTTAATAACCAAAATGTTGTTCTAAAAATTGAGAATGGGTTGCTTTCGTTACGTACTGAATACATAAATAGTTTTTGTTAAAGCAAAAAGCAGCTTTAGAATAGGCTTATTAGCAGCTTTAGAATATATTGATCTGATTTCTTATAATTTCGTGTGATATGGTACATCATATTTTAGGTATTATTTATAAGAATACATTTGTAGCAAATATTACTTATAATACTTTATAAAACATTATGTCATTTCGAATTAGATTTTCATAAATTTCTTTTAAAAATTTTTATTTATTCATTGTTGCATATTAAGACTACTAGTAAAAGTACATTCTACAGTAATAATAAATTCAAATCAGCTGAATTTCACATATTTTTACCTTTAATTCAATAAAAAATATGTTTTTTATTTTTGTTTGAATTATATTTTTATTCATTTTTAATTTTTTTTGAAATAAGATGAAATATCCGTAGAAATCTAAATTATTATTCCATTTTTATTTAATATTATCATTTTAACCATTTTAACCATTATTCATATATAGAATATAGATTACAGCATATGAAATTACATTGTCAGTATTAGGAACACAAACTGTCAGTAATAGACACAAACATTTGCGGTTATGTCAATATAAGGAACATTTTTGCTTTTCATTTTTAATCGAAAAATTATGAATTAAAAAATATTTTGATTAAATAATTTTATAAAAAACATTATTCTCAATTATCCAAATTATTCAAAAAATCGGAAACACGATCATTTATTGTATCCCACATATAAAATATCTCACGCCAAAGTTGAATTTGTTGCGAAGTATGTCAGTAATAGGGACACTTACCTTATTTAATAATTGAGTCGACTTTTCACTATATTTGCAATTGAAATTTTATTTTTCAACAGCATTTTTTAATTATTTAAAGCAGTTATAAGCTTAATATTAACCAATTTTCTTCAAAAATATTTTCAAACATTTTCAGTATTTGTTTTCCAAAATATCAGTTTATCATTTTTAAATCATTGAAATCGCATTTATTCTTACTTCTATATTCCGTGGATGAAAATCATCGTAAATTATTTACATTAGATAACAATAAAATCTAGTTCCAATCTCCTAAAATTAAATATTTTAATTAAAATTATTTATTCCATACAATATGAACACTAAAAATCACTTACCATATCTGACATAACTGACATGAAATGCTAGGAGAATTTAAATATACAAATTGTCATTTTATAGTGCATTGCATTTATATGTGAACGACATCTATTACTAAAAATCGAAAACTTAATTTTTATAATTCAACACCTAATCTATGTAAACAATAAAATGAGTGGCCGTCTTGTGCCATAAAATAGAAATTTTGTTAAATTAAAAATTTTTTTTTTAATTTGTAAATTATAATAAATTTAAATTATTTATGTAAACATAAATTGTAAATTTCTAAAAGAGTTTACATGATTATTCATCATATATAAAGTTAAAATTCATTATATTTTAGGCTAAATATTCAATAAAATATTTATAGTTGCAATTATCTTACAATTAATTAGGTAAATTAAAAATTACCAAAAGGCAAAAAATCCTCTTTGTATACCAATCAAATAATTTTTTTTTTTAAAAAGAATTCTCTTTCTTTTTTTAATAAAAGTCGAGGGAAAATGCGTTTTTATAAAGATTTGAATGAAATTTTTTCGATTGTATGGTCTTAAATGAGTGTGCATTTTGCTTTAAGGCGAAATTTTTGTTTAAGATTTTTTATTTCTCAAAAGACCATATACATATATACATATATCTACAGGTAAAATAACTTATACATTTATGTTTGTATTTTTATATGTTAATATTTACATATAATATTTTACTGCGGATTATATAAAATTTTTGATTTTTCGTAACACGTACATACAAGGTGATTCAGTAAAGATTACAATATTATATATAATAATATGTTGATTTCAAGCCCTTTACTACTCGTAGCTTATTTAAAAATTAATTATTTGAAGCTTTTGTATTTTTCGGAAAGGAAGTTGTAAGCAAAAAAATTTTAAGCAAGTCTAAAAAATTCGATAAAATTTGTGTATGCGTAAACGTTGAGATTTGACACCTAGTTCAAAAAAAAAAAAATTTACCGGAGCATAAAACAACAATATATATATTTTAGTGAATCATTCTGTATATATTGTTGTAAACCGACAAAAATTATGTTTTTTCCAGCAGTATCATTTACTATATATGTTTACTTTTAATACATAAATTTAAATTGTTATGTTACTGATTCAGAATTTATTTGTACATATACATATACATGAAAACATATTTATATTAACTTTTATGTAAAATATATGTACATATATTTCCATATTATATATATATAACTTTAAGTAATACAAGAAACACATCAAATGAAAATATCAAATATTTTATTATTATTAGAGGAACAATTTTATGTATTAAAATAATATAGGTCTATAATAATGTTGGTTGGTGGAGAATGTAAAAATTATAACTTGTCTGCAATAAATTAATTAATTCTTGTATATTAACGCTCGATTTCATTATATTAATGTTAAAATTAAGCCTAAATAGTGGGCCTTTTCATAAACTTGCGAGTTATATTACGAATACCACACTACTTATAAATAATGTTTATAAACAAATATTGCTAAACTTGTTTTTTCAACAATTATCAAATATTTCAGTAAGAAAATATATTTTTGAATCAAAACTGAATTTGTTAATAATAATTCTCTTGAATTTTATTTGGTATAATTAAAAAATGTTTTTAACATCTGCTACAAATATTAGAATAAACACAACAAATGTTTCCTGTTTTTTTCTGTGAAATCAAAGTGAATTTTAAATCTAAAATAAATTCATATTCATTTAGATTTTATAAAAAAAAAAAAAAGTTGAATATTCAGAAAAAAAAAACGTACACACCACTTATTTTTAAATCTTACTTATCTTAAAATTCTATAATACATATACATAAATACAAAATAATGAATATAATTTTAATTTGACATAATTGCATAAAATTAGGGGTAAGAAATATTTTCAATAGATTTAGCAATAAAATTTTTAATACATTACACAGCGTCTGGCATCGTTTCTATTCATTAAAAACAATAAAAACCGTTCTTGAATTATTTAGTATGATTTTTAATAAAAAATTCTATTTCTTTTGTGTATATGCAATTTTACCCTTTTTGAGTAAATTTAAACCAAATAAATACAATTTAGAAAGAAAATTAAAAGGGTCTAACAATATACAATCAAATTCTTTTCATCAACTATTTTCAAAATGAATGCGTTTTATTTATTAATGAATACATTATATACTTATATTAAATAGATTGAATATATGTTATATATATATATATATATTGAATAGAATTGAAAGGGTTAAATTATGAAAATAAAGTCTATATATGTGGTATTAAAAAATACTTAAGATCTTTAAAGATAAATTCTCTGTGTATGTTTGTCCAATTTTCTTTTATTTTTTTTTCCATTTTTAATATTTAAATTTATTTTTTCCTTTATATTAGAATTTATTTTTTTTTATTTATATAATTATAGGACGTACTTTATTCTCTCTCTCTCTCTCTCTTATATGTAAATATAAAGTGGATAGGTTGGTACCACCTTAAATCGCATATATTTACGTGCATATAAATGCACTCAAGATATATTATTAGAAGAAAC